TCGAAAGTTTGTACAGAGCATCCGGATTTTTACCATTTTTACTAAGTGTTTGTTAAATCATTAAATTATTAATATTGAATTGTTGAATTCTTAAATTTTCAACAAATTTTTTCACAAATAAAGCACTTTTTGATATCGCTGTAATCAAATTATAAGAATAATTGATTTACGTAACTGTTTTACTTGTCAAGAAAAACTAGACCAGAAGCAACGCAATGAATATAAAATGATTCCGTACTTGATCTTTTTTTCTTTTATGTTTTTCTCCATTTTTATATTTCTCGGATTATTTCATAACCCCAGGCATACAGTTTACTCGTGAGAAAGCCAAAGTTCTTAACGGGAGAAACGGAATCAGCCTGCAACTTCGGAATATCTACATTTACATTTTGCCAGTAAAAAAAAAAAAAGAAAAAAAAAAAGAATAATTCCTAAGGTAGCTAAAAGCAGCTTTGCCGGTTTAAAGATCGATATATATATATATATATATAGAATATTGTTCACCCAAATTTTGAATGTCAATTACCATCAAAGTGACATTATGTTAACTAACAGTAAATTTCCCAAAAAGTTTAAATACACTGAATTCTACTCTTACATAGATATTATTTTTCTCCCATTATAATCGAAAGCGTAACAGCGATCTGCGTCTAGTATCAAGCATGATCGTCGAAAGCATAAAACAAGAGAACATGTTAAAGGGAAGAATGTATTAAACTTTTAATAATCCTTCAAAGGCATTGATGAAACGAGCCACTCGCTCTCTCGGTCCACGATCTCATTAAAAAAAAAAAAAAACATCAAAAAGTCTCGTTTATCACCGTGTCCTAGATCACACAATGAAATCTAGCCCCGTAGACACACGTAGCAAGAAAAAAATTTCCGTCTCTATCGTCTCTACTAAATATGGATCATCATCTGACGAATGCGTCACAATTATCGAACCAGCGCTTGCAGTTACTCACACTCGCGTAAAGTATCATAGATCCAGAGAACCACATGGCGAACCCGTGAAAGGTTTGTGCCGCGTAACAATCGGCCGCCACTTTCGAAATTACGTCACACGGCCAGACCAAGGGGGATTCTTGATTTCGACCTATAACAACGTCCGAACTAGCGACCGTTTCGTCAATCGGCGCCGAGTGTTCGGCCGAGTCGAGTCGCCTGTCCCTTTCGTTTTTTCGCTCCTCGGTTCGCGAAACACACGGTCGAAATCCACAGTGAAAGTCCAGGTGAATTGATGGCCAGGGGTGCTCAATCTCTCCGCGCCAGAGGGAAAGATCTGGGACCAGGCGGATCTCCAACCATCCCGTATGGTTCGTGTGCATAACAGTTTCGAGTTTCACCGACCGAGCTACTGTCACTTTCAAGCCGGCAGTGCGACACAAGGGAACGAGCCGATCGGCACAAAAATGGCCCCCTCGTGAACTCGATCGAATGTGACATCCAGCTGGATCTCGTTGATTCCGATCGTTTCGCTATTGGTGAATCATATTGGGAAACTCAGTGCGATCTTTTGGCATTGTCGGTCACTGGCGGAGAATATCGTTGAGAGAAGACTCTGTTGTGAATATAAATAATTGGTGTATGAATCGAAGAGATTATGAATGAATCGATGTTAACGTGATCTTCGTTAGATCATAGATCAGTGGAGAAACATTGCTGCAAGAAATTAGGCAGTAACGAAGAAAATTTGACTCGATTGTATGTTGCTATCTTTTGACATTTGAGGCTAAGATCATTGAATTAAAAGACATTTGAAAAAATTGACACAAGATACAGATAATCTGAATGGACGGTGATTTTCTGAAAGCCACGCTCGACTGAAAATTAGATTGACAAATTTGGGAAGCGTGTTACACGCTTGGTAAGGAAATTTCCTTCGCAGAAGTTGGCGCGCGTAATTTGAAAGAGAGAGGATCAGGCTCCGACTATCTTCGTTTCTCGTTTGCATTGGATTATCTCCAAGCTACGCGAAACGTCTACGTAGCGATTATCCTTGAAGTTGACTCGAAGAATCTCTGTCGAATAAATCGCTGACTCTCGAGACTCGGCACGGGAGGCGTATCAATCTATCTAAGCTGAGCGACAGTCAATCGAATATCTGCATTGGAAGCTAGTTTCGGTGCGCCGGGAGCCGCAGAATCAGCGTGATTAAGGGTTTAATTATCGACTGGAGGTAGAACGACGTCGACAAGCATCGGCGAAAAAGCCGAAGTGCAGCAGGGAAAGGAAAAAAAAAGAAGGACACAGTGAAAGAGCTAAAAAGGCCTTTTGAAAGCGTCGCGCATAAAGGTCGTTAAAAACAGCCGGGGCACCGAGGAAGTTGTATTCATCGCGTCGAAGAGAAAGAGAAAGGAAGGTTCCAATGAATCGGTGAACCTCGAAAATAGATCGTCGCTGACGGATATAAAGAAATGTGTCACGAAAGTGAGAGAAAATGTAATAAATGTCCAGCTAATCCCGATAATAAAAAGAACTCTGCTGAACAAATTGATATTTGAACTGAGTAAAGTGAAAATGTACGAGAGATTAAATTAAATTAAAACTGAATGATCTGAATGTAAAAATATTAGAAACCAGATTTGAAGTGTAAAAACTTATATGATACAAATCAAAAGTATAAAAATTATACTAAATAAATTCGAATCATCTGAACAGCAAGAAATTAAATTTGGCAGAGAGTTATCCAAATATAAAAACGCTGTCAATTAAATTTGCAACGTGCATAAATTAAAATTTGCATAAATTAAAATTTGAATAAAAGAATATTGGAAACTAAGTTCAGAGCGTAAGGAATTATACAAAATAAAAGTGATACCGAAACATCTGAGGAAATAGACGGCTCGTCCAACAAAACGTGTACGCGTAACAAACCGAGAAAGTGTAACACACGGAATCACTGTCTCGACACAGATGAAGTGATACAGGAAGCACGCCCATACGCAAAGAGAACCCGGCGTTCATTTACCAGTTGATCAGCCAGCGCGATGGATTGCAAGTTACCTCGCGGAAGTTCTCGCTTGTTTCGCACATTCGTGACGAGTAGTCGCAACATCTAGACCCACTTTTCTTCTCTTCACCGGTCACTCTTTATCGGGAGTTTGCGAACGGAGGAACGACACGAGAGAGAGAGAGAAGGAGAGAAACGTGAGCGAACACGAAAGTGAAAAGAGAAGCAGAATGTTGGCCTACGTCTCGACTATCATCACCACGTTGCTGCTGGAGAGCGAGAGGGTGATCCCTGGACAAGAGAAGTACAATATGGCGACGTTCATGGTGCTCTTCCTATTGATCACCATCGAAGTGGTCGTTGTGAAGGTGGTCACCTCCGACATGGAGAGAGACGAGGAGAGCCATCCTGGTTTGAGAGCTGCTGCCACTTTCTTCGATCACGAGGATTGATGCCCGATTCGTTACGCCAGACTCCATCCGCGCCATGCCTTCTGTGTCGTAACAATGTTCAAGAAATGGACGAAACAATGTGAATTGTACCGTGAGGTTAGCATCTCGCGTGCACTACGGTGTAATTGATGAGACACGCGAGTTTGAATTTATTTAACGATCTTATCGAATTAATTGATGTGTCTAGCGTGTTCTCTCTGTTGTGCTGTTTGATCCTATGTTATTCACCTGAGGATGATTGAGATCATTCGTCTCAACACCTGCTGTTTGTTAATCGACACGTCTGACTGTCAGATCTGCTCGAGTAAAATGAATACTCTTTCGAATGGCAATGTACCGTGCGACGTGTTTCACTTGTTGAGAAAATGAAGTGCGAAATGATTAATTGGTTGCGAGTAAGCGAATAAAATATGCATCAAGTGTTATTTATTGTAATCGAGCTGTTGCAATTAATCTTTCCAAAAGAGAGAAGAACACCAATTAAAAGAAAATGATCACTTGACGTCAATAATAAACGACGACGGAAGTGATAACAAAAACCACAGTAAAACAATCCGATGACACGATACGTGTTGGGATGCACCGCGTCCCAATGCAAAATGGCGAATATTTTATTAAATACAGCGATCTATGTACACTGGATGTCACGTAATACGTACGTGTATGTATAATTGACTCGGCACGCGCGGAAGAGTCACGTCGACGATGATGAACCCGTTGTTACACGGCACAGGAGGAAACAACGATGGAAATAATGAACGTTTATGAAAATGAATCTCTCGATAATTTCCAACATCCGTCTTTTTCACAAAGGAAACTCAAGATCGATAAGATCGCACTATAATTAAATTGACGATAGTGTACCCGATAGTGTATCCTCGAGGAAAGACAGAAAACAGTTCGACACGTTCCAGAATGTGTCTTGCAATCTTCACGCGAAATCTTCGACACGAAATTTTGAAATTTCATTTCTATAATTACACCGAATGAAATAATGGAATACAATGAAATTTAAAGATTTAGTTAGAGTCAGTATAGTATTTCACGTCGTTCACTAGGCGCGAAAACGTTTTGTAATGGATACAACGTTGCGTAATCGAACCACCGTCATGGAAAGTTAGCTGGATTTGATATAGGCAAGAAAGCATTTTGAAAGTATATATTTATTCCAACCAGTAGTTGCGTAATGACGCGTACGTTGCACGCGGTCGGTTACGCGCTCGAGCTGCAAAGCGTGCGACGCCTCGAGCGCCTCTATGTCGAGTAATCGCGCCGCCCAACGTACATAGTTAGTAACCATTGGTTCGTTTCGCGTACCTGTTCATCAAAAACTTTCATCAACAATTGCGTCGATGAAAATTGCAACAACACCGATCATTCCTTTCTGATGATTCTTTAATAAAGGCAAGCTCTTTCGAATCGAATTGTCGCGAGACGGACAGCGGCGGATGAAAGAAAGTTCGAAAACGCAAGATGGCGCGCGACGAGAAACACCATAATTCCAAAGAATGAAATTATTAACTCGAAAGTTGCCAATTTGTGAGCCGCGTGAGCAGCAATTTTAAACTTTCTTTCATCCATCGCTGTAATCTCCGATGTTATTTCCTATCATTGCTGCTGGCTCTCGAGAATGGTGATTACGATTTTTAACGCACGACGGAGAATCGTTCTCTCGATCTAAAGTATATTTGGGACACAGCGTTTGCAGGTAAATTTCCCTAATTGTCTCCTTGTCGCTAATGCTACAAATCCGAATTAACGAATAGTTGAATTTCAGTATTGTTGAATTTACTAGTTTACATTAGTAACTCGAATAATTCATCGATCGAGTCGAATGATCAAAATTTTATTGATTTATACTCAACGTTACAGGAAATCCGGAGGCTCGAAGGAAGAGGAAAGGCAAATCCCTGTGAGCGAGAATCGCTGCTCCTGTTGCCTAAAGCCGTTTTTCCTGGAACGCGGTGTCCGTTGCGAGGACTGCGGCAGAAAATCCTGCAGGAAAGGCTGCTCCCGTTGGGATCCGTCGGATAACGCCTGGCACTGTCTCTTTTGTCGTCAACGAAGGTTCTGACCACGATACGTTAACTCGTTCGCACAATTTTTGCACGAAACTCTATTTAACTCCTTGCGCTGGCAACTGGTTCGCGGACCATAACGAGTGACCGAACCGTACACAATAATTTGTCGCTTTCTTTTTCTTTTGAACTCGTCGGTACGATATCACTGGATAGAAATTATTAAGAAGCAATAAACTTATCATTCGTTTCGCCTGGGTTGCATTTAAATGTACTTGAAACTGAGAAAATGTTGCAATTTGGGACAAAAAACAGAAATTATTGAGAAGTAATAAACTTATCGTTTGTTTGCATTTAAATATACTCGAAACTGAGAAGATGTTGCAATTTGGGACAAAAAACAGAAATTATTGAGAAGTAATAAACTCATCGTTTGTTTACATTTAAATGTACTTGAAACTGAGAAGCTGTTGCAATTTGGGACAAAAAATAGAAATTATTGAGAAGTAATAAACTTATCATTTGTTTGCATTTAAATATACTTGAAACTGAGAAGATGTTGCAATTTGGGACAAGAAATAGAAATTATTAAGAAGTAATAAACTTATCGTTTGTTTGCATTTAAATATAAAACTGAGAAGATGTTGCAATTTGGAACAAAAAATTCTCATTCCAGCGCAAGAGGTTAATTTTGCGAAAACAGTTCCCTCCAGTATATAGTGCAATTTCTTCATTCCACTTAGCCCTTGTGTTTCGCACAATTAAATAAAGCGGCTTAGATAAACCTTGAAAACTTTTTCACGAAGAATATTTTCACTTCAGGTATTGGCTGAAGAAAAACGGAGTCGAGACGTTCGGTGGACTGATCGACGAGAAGGATCTACATCGATACTTTGATACGGCAAAATCACGAGTTTACGTGGCAGGTTTGTTCGTCGAATTTTAATTCTACGATTTTTACTCGAGGCTCTGGTTGTTATGCGATTCAATCAGGAGATCACTCATTGATCAACTAACGTAAACAAAAAAAGAAGAGAAAATTGATAACAAGTTTCTCGAAAATTATTTGCTAAAATTTGTTTAAAATCATTTATTTCTTGGAATAAAATTCAATGTTTGGCTTCCCGGCAGAGTCCTACGTTAAAATTTGACAATATCTTTTTATTATTGAAATTCTGCAATTTAATCCTATAGACAATGACACAAGAATGAACCGATAATGATCTTTCGACGCGGATTACGCGGATTATCGGCTACTTATCGTCACTTTTCCCGTTAATGCGAGAACCGCGCTGCGATCATTATAATTATCGTCTGAGACGAGTCTGTTTACATAAGGGCGTAAACGATGAACCGAAGACTTTTATCCGCTGGCGAACCGGTTTCTTTAGAAAAATAAAACCGACGAAAACTATCTCAATTAATACGTGTTTGTGGAAAAAGTAGGAGAAGAAACTAGTTCTCCTTAACGCTATCGTCATTTTAGCGTGCAATTCTTACGGAATGATTGACCTGTCATTGAAAGAAACATCTCACTCGTTACTATTATGGCGAAGACATTTCTACTATTTTATTTCTCGAGTTCTTTTCGAGCTGTCTGAAACTAGAACTAACGACTAGTAACGTACTTTTAAATATACTATTCATAAACGCATATAACGAAAATGATTTGACAAAATAAAATCAATGATCATTTCCAATGGTACATATGCCATTCCATGCTTCGTAGATGAATAAAAAAATATTTGTCGAGGGCAAAGGGTTAACATGCGTAGAATCTAAAATTAAGACTTTCAAAAAAAAAATAAATAAATAAATAAAAACGCTCGTGAATTCTTCAACAATGTAGCAACAATAGCTACCTGTTGATCGTCGAACCAGCTCCGAAATTTGTACCGTAAAAAAATTCCACAAAAATATCGAATACACGACAAAGTGATACGAACGAGAGAAAATCGACGAGTACCTCAAGTTCCCAAGAAAATCGACTCGACGATCCCTTATAAATAATGCAGTTTCCAAGGCGACACGGGGTGGAGCATTCCTACATGTTCCTCGCTAACGTTGTCCCTTGGAAAGAAGCAGCGGAGAAACGATCGTCCACGAACGAGATGGAGCTCGATGGAGCCCGATGGAGCATCGTGGACAATAGTTGATCGCTCGGTGGAAATTGATTTGCAGGTTGGGGCCCGGTGGGCGCGGTGAACGATCGACGAATCGATACACGTTTCGCATACGGAGCAAGAAAGGGAATTAATTGCAACTTTGTCGTTGCTCGAACGAGCAGCGACAAAATTTCGAGTGAATTTCCACGATTCCGGCGGGCAACTCCGGACGTAAAGCCTAATTAAACTTCAAAACGACCTCGTGTAAATTTTAATTTCGCCGCTGCCGCTCGACGATCGTTCGAGTTTGTTACGAGTCTGACATCGCCTCTCCTTCGATTATCTCTTAAAGCTACTCGGCTGTATAATTGGATCGATGACAATTGTGAAACAATAAGTTCTTCTCGTGAGTCAACTACCCACTTTAAATCTCCCTTGGAGTTTTGTTACGTATTGATTTACGCGATTTCGTCAATTTCCAACTAAAGACGTTACGAAGGCAAATTAATTACGTGGCAGTATGATAAAATGCGCGCGTGATAATACACAGCATGTTCCAATATTGGTAGTATGGGAATATACAGGAAAGGAATGATTCTATTATATTAAAAAAATAAGTTGGAAAGGAAGAGTAAAATTTTTTCATTCGAGGCTCCGGTTTTTTTTTTTTTTTTTTTTTTTTTAGAAAGTTAAGGAGATTTGACAGAAAGGAATAAAAAATTATTCTACTTGTAAAAACGTAAATGTAATCGTAAATATAGAATAAACTTTTTTTGTACAATTTATCGAGTACACGTGTACCAGAGAAAATGATGCTTCGAATGAAAAAATTTTACATTTACTTAATATAAAGGAAATATAACATAAATAAAGTAATAATATAATATAAAGTAAATATTATATTAAGTAAATATAAAGGAAATATAACATAAATAAAGTAATAATATAATTAAATTAAATAATAATTATATTATAATATAATAATAAATTATTAAAATTATTAATATAAATTTTTATATAAATTATTAAAATAGTTAATAGTTAAAATAGTTAATTTATATAAAATATAAAGTATTTATAATAATATAATATAATTATTATAAATTGTTATAATAATTATATTATATTATTATAAATACTTTATATTTTCGACTCATTTTTACGCGTGGAACAAGTTCTTGTTAATTATTCTTTTCCGTTACGTCCAAACCAAATTGGCAAATTAGTCAAATACCAGTGTGCTTGATAAATCTTCAAACTCGATTTCCTCGAGAACGAAACATCTTGGGAAAAAATTTTCGACTTATTTTATCATCTCATCCTCACAGTCGAACAAATTAACCAACAACTCGGCGTGTCTCACGCTGTTAAATTGCCGCCAAGACACATTCGGCAATTCGTGCGGGAAAACGTATATTAACAATTAAAGAAGATTGCCTGAACGGTGAAAAATCAACGCCGTTCGCCATTATCTATAAACGTGGCAATTTGTCAAGAATTTTGCGCGAGAAGAATACTCGTCTAAAACATCTCTCGTAAATCTCTCTCTCTCTGGAGAGGAGATTGCTAATTGCAAGAAATTCGCGAGATCCGAGATAGAGGAACGAAGAGAAAATAAAAACGGTCGGAAGGAAGGAAAAGGAAGTAAAAACGAAATTAACGTAGGAATAGCGTAGTAGCTAGCTGAGAAAGTCTCCGGGGCGAAAATGTTAATTGACGTTGGGATGCAGCGGATGAATCGCGGAGATCCGTGGCCTGGCCATTGTGCCATCTCGAGCCGAGAGCGTCCTTGTTCCTAGCCAGAAAAGTCGTGTAACGGAAGAGGCAACAATAAGAACCGGTCGCAAAAATGATCTCACGCTGGATTCCCCGCGATGCTCATTGTTCGTTGCACACGATCTTTTCCGCGTGAATCGTATCGGGCCGTTTGATCGGGAACGAGCTTCGTCCCGAATGCAGATAGCCGGACGGATAAAATAGACCGGCTCCGTGGAAACTGTAGCTTTTCTTCGGTGGAAAAAGAGAGAGAGAGAGAGAGAGAGAGAGAGAGAGAAAAGAAAAAACGAAGAAGGGGAAGAATATGCACGCGCCTCGCGGTATAGCCCATATAATATACGGTCTGGCGATATACATCGCGATTCCCCGACCCGTTATGAATAACTTGGCCGTGTAAGTTACGATGCGGGTCACTCGTATCACAACGCAAACACGAATAACTAGATTAGCATTGAGTCGTGCTACCACCGCGATTCGCCAGGATTTTCGTATTTTCACGTTCGTTTTTTTTTCTACAACGGAAGAAGGATGGACGTGCGCACGGTTAACAGAGAGAAGTTGAGCAACGTTGTTGATCTGGGAAAGTTTCTCAAGGAAGTTCCATTCCGGGGACAAGAAAGTTTTAACGAGATCAAAAAGATCCGCGGTTTCGTCTTATTAGCTTCGCGTTACAATGCTAATGACGCTTTTCCAAGTCCGAGACCCAGTTTTTCAATATTTTTTTCCCTATCGAGTTTCATTGCACGATGAATTTTGCTCAGAGAGAGAGAGTGGCCTTTCGCTTTCGAAGATCGCCTTTAATTGGACAGCATCGGCTAAAAATAGAGGAACTCGCGAGGAATTATGAATTCCTGCAGGTGGATCGCAGAAGGCCTGTCCAAATGGAGACGACCGTTCATTCTACATACACGAATACACGCATACTCGGGTTTCTTGGTTTCTCTCTACCGACTTACACAGCCTCTATTCCAAGGATCTGTTCTTTCGCCAAACATGGTCAGAACGCGGCCGTGTCGAACAGTTTTGCCCCTGTTCGTCGTTTTTCGCGAAGCCCGAAAGATCCGCGCGCTCGTTATTTCTTCTAGGAAACCGGCGGGGATCGCGCCGCATTCCGCCGCGCGAAATTTCAGAAAACCAGATCCTCCGGTTGGCACGAACTCGCGGGCAAGCATCTTCGCCGCGTCTGTTGCCTGTTGAACTCGTTAACGTCGACGAGCGAACGAAACGTTGGGCTTTTACGCGGGATACGCGTAGGGACGAGAATGAAACGCAGTTAGCACGTCTCTCGATTTTTCTCACTGAACACTAGAACCACCGGCGACCGAAGTATAATATTCGTAGGGAAGAAATTAAAGTGCAAGAGAAGTTAATAATACGACAAAGAAGACAAGTTTCTATCGGTGTAGTTTATTAAAAATCACTCGAGTGTCTAATAACACGCTGTTGTAAATATATAAAATTTCCATAATTATAAAATATATAATTAATATATATTTTATATATATTAAAATATATAATTAATATATATTTTATATATATTAAAATATATAATTAATATATATTTAATATATAATTAATATCGTTAAATATAATATAGTTTATAATTCATAATATTAATCACCATAATTTATAACTTCATAATTGTATAATTATGATTTTATAATTTCCATAATTAATATATAAAATATAAAATTAATATTATTAATTATAATATAGTGCGTAATTTATTCATATGAAGTATATTTATAGTTAATAATATCAATTTCCGTAATTTATAATTTGATAATTACACAATTATGATATATAAAATTTCCACAAGTTGGTCACTTTGACCATTTTGGATTTAGTTCTAGTGCCAACGTGTAGAGGGAAAAGAACATCTATTTGCAATACTTTCAGTTCACAGTTGCATTAAAAATAAAGAATTACTTTGAATTGTTCGTCAAAAGCAAAAGTTTCTTTAATCAGTGGGAAAGAAGGGAATTTCAAATGAATATTCCCAGGAAATTTACAAGAACGCAAAACCACTCCATTTTCTTCGTCGTGTGACACACGCAGCTCTCGATAAATATAGGGTGTGTATGCCCATAAGTAATGGCCATAAATTTCTTTCAAATTTGACAAACATTTACTTCAAAATTACCGTCATCTTACAAAGTGGGGACAGAAAGTTTGTCAGATGGATGAACGAAGATTCGACAACGATGAAGATCACATCGTAGATGAAAATTGCGTCAACCCTCAAATAAAATGAAATACTTTATACAGTATCAAGAAACGACTTACTTCTATACTTGTGTATGTACCCATTATTTATGGGCGCTATTTGCCAAAACACAAACACAAATAATCCACTACGTAATTGTACCAATAACAATGAGAAATTGCGAATAATCTTTGTGAAGGAAAGATCAGACAGTTGAGAAAACAATTGAAAAAAACGACGTTACTTACGGGTTAGATATTCTCATTTCCGAGAAGAAACCACTACTAGCGTACGCACACCACTGTGCACGGGGTGTGAAAAAAGCTTAATACGCGCAGGTTGTTAAAAGGCGGATGGCGGGGGTCGATTAGGAGCGGCGGGCCTGAATTCCGATCGGTTTTTCGGGCCAGTTGTAAGCGGAACTCGTGCGCGCTCATCGGTCTTATTGTCTCCGGGCCCTCCGTGGCGAACCTCAGTTCTGCTCCAGTACTCCTGGGAGTAACATCGCGCACTCCCCGTGTCGTATAATCCTTTCCGCCAGTTTCTTTCGCCGTGCCGTTACTCCTCGCATCCCTGAAAGAAGAGAATCCGCTCGCGCAGAACGAGTCGCCAGGCGGCCCCGGTTATCCATCCGATTCTCGCCGCTCGAACCGCATTTTTTCCCTCCATATTTCTCCCCTCCTGCCCCTCCGTTTCCTTCATTTTCTTACGTCTCTTTCGTTTCGTACCGCGAGAAGAAGGAGGAGGGGAAAATCGACGGGGACGTTTCGTGTTGTGCAGCCGCGCGCAAGGTGACTGTCAGGGGAATAATCGCGTATCGATAATTGCAACGTGCACGCGGACGAAGAGCGACGACGCGAAAGCAGCAGGTGGAATCGCTCGCGGCGTTTTCTTTCCGTTTTTCAGCGAACGTGATCGGAGAGCCTCGAGGGAGAGGACGAAGTTGATTCCGTTCCGGTGCGGCGATCGTCGAGCCAGGCTTCGACCAACCGGTTCCGCGCGTTTAGAAATGGAAAATAGCAGACAAGGACGGGAGAAGCGCGCGAAAGTCACGATACCTAATCAAGGTATCCGAGTGGCCTCTCGAACGGGATGATTTGTGCACGGCAAAAAGTGGACGAGTGGAGTTTCGAGTGGAACAGGTTAGTCGGTTGCCGACGATCCCGCTAGGATTCGCCGTCGACTGTCAAGTGTTATTCTTCTCGTTTGTCGCGGTTGACTGCAAAAATTCGGTAACGAAACCTGACGAAGAACCCTGCGGCAGAGACAACTGTCGGAAGATTGAAGAGAAATGAAACCTCGATCGAAACGATTTGTCTAAGTTTCGAACTCGAAATTATCCACTCGGGGATCGATGAAATCTTCTCGAAGATCCGTCTCGAGGGTAGGACGTGGAAAACGAATTTGTAGAAGTTTGTGAGTAAATAAAAGAGGGAATGATCGATGACAGGGAACGAAGGACGAAGATTTTCGGAAGGCTGAAGAGCGAACGGAGCGAAGATCGATGTCTGTTCGCGCTCGAGCAGCCTCGAAGCCGTATGATAACTTATAAATATACCGGTCTTGCGGTACTCACCTGAGAGAATGCGGTTGCAAACACCGAGGGGAGAAAAAAGAACTCCAGTGGTAGATCTTTAATGGTCGTCGATACTTTCGTTTAGAAAGCGGCCGGCCGTGTCAGTTGAACAGGGATTCGCGATCGGGACGCGTCGGTACCCTTGAATCGATACGAATCTCAAACGTCATTTCCACCACCGGGACGTCATTTCCACGCCCGCTTCGCAAACGGAACGATTCCGATCGATATTCCCCAAAAAATGTTCGCTCGGACGGGCGACTCGCGCTGGAATCGACGAGGGGAGAAAGTTTCCGCCGTATGAATGAGTAAGTTGCCTCGGTTTCTCACTTTTTCGACTCCTCACTTCGGACGGATCTAGCTGCACGAAAATTCTCGCAAAGAACGCAAAGGAACAGTGACTTAATTTCAACATTCCTCGATTTAATATCTTAATATTTTCGAAGACATTTCTGCCACGCCTGTGGCAGACCACTGATTGCGGACCATAACGAGTGACCGAACCGTATAAAATAATTTTGTCTCTTTCTTTTTGGAACTCGTCGGTATGGCATCGCTGGATCGAAATTATTGGGAACTAATAAATTTATTATTTGTTTCGCCTTGTATTTCGTTTTACTTAAATATACTTAAAACTGAGAAAATATTGCAATATTGGAACAAAAGATTCTCGACGTGCATGGCACGTAATTTCAGCGCAACAGGTTAAATCGACAGTTTTTTGTTTTCGTCGGGATTGATAAGGAATCACCGCAGAACGGCTATCGGGGGAGGAAATGTTTATGCACCGAAGCTGATAAGGTAAAAGTAATGTTAACGATGCCGGACCTGCGCTTGTTGACCCAGTTTAAAATGAAATCGCAGGGACAGCTGTTCGTTTGTCGGCATGTAATCTTCTTCCTTTCAAACAGTCCGCGAACACGTCCAAAGGAGTTTAAACACACTGTGCTCAATTAAACGCAATAACATCGCCTCGATTCATCCCGCTTCCGTTTCCATGTCGAAAGATCCAAGTCGAAAGGTCGGAGAAATGAACAAATTAATCGCGACATCCTTGATTTCTGATTGTCCGTAGGATAATTTAAAACTCGTCGATCGTCTCGTTGCTCGTTTAATTGAATCGATGCCAATCGACGAGGCACGAGGCGACACGATTGCAAACAAATCAAGGAAACACTGATCTCATTTTAGGAGTGGAAAATGCAGCTACCAGTTCGGGGGAGGGCCTGGCCGCGCAGAGAAAAGAGGCGAACACGATGGAAACGGTTCGAGATTTCGTTGAAAAGATAGTGGTGGGCTTGATCGGCAACTTGGACGACGTGCCGATCCATCGATTGTACAATCATCCGTCGTGTAAGTTTAAACCTGCAAATAATCTTCCCCCCTTCTTCGCTCTTCACTTCAAAGTCAACTGCTACGTTCAACAAATGAACTGTTCTTTTCGAAACCGGGAGCAGATTGAGAAAAGGAACAGATTACGAATAAATGTTTTTGTACGATACGTGTCATTTCCGATGTTTTTTTTTTTTTTTTTTTCTTTTTTTTTAACGAGCGTGCAAGCACGCGCATCCGGCGTGTGACCAAACAATGCTGCCATCTGCAGAGGAAGCTCGACGCACGTTGAAACAAGAAAACGTGTCTGAAGAGCCTCGAATTCCTTTCTCAATCGCCATGGCAATATCTCTGCTCGCTTCGTATCTGTTACTCACTTAACAATTAACTACCGGTCGTGTTGATCCGCTTTTTTTTTTCTTCATCTGCAAAACGCGCCGCTGCCCGGTCGGCAATTAAACGTCGTAGGTATGTCTCGATTGCTTCTTTGACGCTCGGCTGCTCCACAAGCAAAAGTTACGAGAAAACGCCTATATAGGATGTATTCACTTTGCCAAATAGCTTTGGAAACTGGTCGAGAACCAAAAGTGCAAAATGACACGTAATTCTGGAACATTTTTGACCATTTTGACCTTCTGAAGTTCCAACCAATTCGTACGATATTCGTACGGTAATAATTTCTCAAAATTACAAGCATTTCTCAAATTAGAAGTATAACGTTTTATGCAAAAGCAGCGCGCAGACGAGAAACAGTTGCAGTTAAGAGAATGTAACGTGCACTCGATCAAAGAACCAATCGCGACATCAATTTCTAATTGCTAACGTTTCCTCGCTCGAGCTAACTAACGCTGGTTACTAGATGACACGCTTTTGGAAAGACATATTGCACCCTTGGTAGACGCGCTCTCACGCTTGGCGATGGTCCTGCAATTCTCTTTAGAAAGTAAGTACTCCTCTACCTATGTTCGTACCGTTCGAAACGAAACACCCTGTAGAACACACACTTTTCCATCGAACGACCAATTACAGTCCTTCTACACGCGTTTTATCAAACTGTAATCATTCCTCGATGCCGTTTACTGTTTAAACGTATCGAACAGTTACCTGCGTTCGGAAACTTCATTTATATACTCGTTGCGTAAAATAAAAAAAAAAAAAATTACCATTTACTTTAGAAACTCGAAATTTCAATAAGAAGTAATAGAAATGTCATTTGGTGGCATGTTTCCTTTATATTGACAATAAAGCCGCTGTGTATATTATAAAAGGAAAAAAGTTTGATCATTCTCTTTGGTATATCCATAGTTAGTGTTTACAAACTGATTGTAAGTTTATTTTCTCCGAAATTATTTTCTGCATCTGGTATTCTCCGAATTGTATATTGGGCATTTTCCAATAACAATTGAATTAATATAAATGAGACGTGCAAACTATGAAGGCTCTTAGTAATTTCTGGTTGGTTGCAAGAAGATACCCTTTTTCTTCCCCTTAATTTTGTCTCGTTTATGAATTTTATCATTTTTCGACAGTTTTTAAGAAACAATGAACTTTTCAACAATGAACTGTCAACTTTCTAGCAAATAAAAATATAATCCTTCCTCGTACTTTTTTCGGTAAAATCCGTAACGGGAGCATTTGTCCTGCGTTCGACGTCGCATACTCGTCATCGTGGGGGATTTTAATTGCTTTAAAATTACTATCATTTTAAATCCCTTATTCATTACATAATATAATATAATAATTATCATTTTGATTGCTTTAAAATTATCCGTCGAGGGATTTTTAATACTAAATTCCACAGTCAGCTGGTTAAAGCTGAGCCCGCGTACATCCGTTTTTCAAAGTAATAGGCGCGCGCATTGTGATTTAGGATGATCGCAGCGACGTAGAACGGGTTGCCTGCCTGAGGCGCCACTCCGCTCAAATAACATACATGCTGGATCGCTTTTTTTACAAACGAACATAGTACGCGCAACATAGTATCCTAAAGCACACGTTTCGCGTGACTTTTTCACGATTACATCTGCCGCGATGTTCCAAAGTCCCGCGTCCTGCAACCATTATTATCGTTCCACCGTGTAATCTCGATGACCCAATATGTATTACACTTTGTTTTGCTCGGTAGAATCCTTTCTCCGGCTATTATTATATATCATACTTCATCGTGCGTTCAACGGTGAACCAATTCGCGTCGCTGTCGATTAACAATCGATTAGAATGTAAATGTAAAAACGCTTCGATGAGAAAAAAAAAATTCACACGTGTGGCCTTTTAATTCTCGTTTCAATCGCGGTGACGTTCGTCCATCGATGACGAACGAACGTCAAACGAGAGAGTTACGTAGCTCCGGAGAGTTACGTAAGCAGCACAGAGAACATTATTATCGCTGCCGGTCTCTCTGTTCGACGATTCCGTGCACGTTTTTTAACCTTCCCACGAGCTCGCCCGGTATCCTTCGAAAGAAGCCGATGCAACCGTAAAAAAAGAGATGAAAAAGTCTCTTATTGTTCTCCTCAGGAAGAATCTTTCTGATTATTCTGGGCAGAGTTACGTTAATCGGACGGAAAGCATCGTGTAGGTAGGGATTTGAGAGTAGAAAAGTGTAAGACTCGATGGATAATCGAAGAAATGTAGCGCAACCGATCTTTGTCTTAAACTGAGGAAACTGCGGATTAAAGTTAAAAACTTTCTCGTAGAAAACAAAATTAAAAGATCGAACAAGGTCAGGAAGAAGACGCAACAGATGCAAGTAATAATCGAGAAAAATCTATTCTCACGGTATTTTAATAATTTTAATTATCTCGAAAGTAAATAATCTAATTTTGACACCATGAAAATCTAATGTATAAATCGAATTTATTAAAAAAAAAAACTAGATATTAATAAATACGACAAACATTTAATTTCTAAATATATATTTAGTTTTTTATTTTACAACATATATATGTATATATTTAAAATAAATATAAATATATATATATATATATATATATATAAAAATAATAAAAATATATATAAAATAAAAATAAATATAATAAAAATAGAAATTAAATGTTTGACGTATCTATTAATATCTAGTTTTTTTTTTAAATAAATTTAATTTATGTATTAGATTTTCATGGTGTCAAAATCGCAGTTTATGTCGGGATAAATTCGACCTTCTTTAGGCGACCTTCTCCCTGCTTAAAGGGATCTCCGATCTGGCAGAATGATTTATAACTCGAAAATGAATTTCCTGAAGGAAAGAAAGTGAGAAAAAGATGTGTTGGAAAATTCATCGTCACCATTGACACGACTCGAATTAAATTTAAAAAGCAACAGTACGTATGTACAGTGTGTCAAAATTTTCATACGTTTCTTGACTCGTATTCAAGTTGACCCCGTGAGTGCAACTCGTATAAGTCAGACACCGTTCGAATAAATTGTCAGACGTACAAAAGCCGCGCATGAGAAGAGCTGCTGCGTACGAAGCATAAATATTTGCATGGAAAAGCGATTGTCGCGTGAAACGCGCGTGTAAAAGCCATATAGGCAACGTGTGTGCTCGTTTTGCATACGCTTGACGTCTACCGAATGATTCAGTGAAACTGACGTTCAAACTGGCGCTTACGATTCCTCCAATTACAATATTTAAAAATTACCATCAAACAAGAAAATAAGAAAAAAAAAAAACATTTTACATACCAACATAATAATTTGAATTAGAAATTGACGTCTGTGAACGTGACGACGGATAAATATTTTTTTGTTACTAGCCAGTCACGGATCGTGAAACGACTCAGCTGATACTTCCTACAGTGTGTCGCGCTATATGTTTCAAAGTCTTCGCGCGATATATTTCAAAGTTCGCGCAACTTAAGGTTATCGTTTCTTCAACCGAAACTCGGGTTTAAGTAAAAATTTATCACTTATAAAAAATTATAATTAGTAATTCGTAGAGCCTCGAGGCTATTTAGAATACGTACACGTTATTGTGATTGTTTTTTTATCGTATTTTACGACGATTACTTGGTCTTTGTACACGTTACTCTCCAGCAAGTGAATCATTCTTGGATCGAAGGACGGCTCGAAGCAAGGAACAATGGTGGATATAACGATTTCAGGACAATAATCTTAAACAGGAGAGCTCGTTTACCGGTTGCGTAAGAAAATGAGTCAGGAGTTAGACGAAAGCTTCGGCCTTATCGTTATTCCGGAAAAGATCATTCGTTTTGTTACTCTGCCAGCGAGAATCGCTGATTAAATGCACGTCGGACGTCACCAGGTGTAATTACATCCATTTCGCGTGTAGCTTGTTTCGAAGGGAGATACATCTGTGAAGCTCAACTGTGTGTACTTTCGACGAAATCGTTAGCGTTTCATTGTTTCAAATTCTATCGGGAATCGAGGGTAACGCGCGACTTCAAACTTATTGGAGCGATTTATTGGAAGAAAAATGTCCCGAGAGTCAACAGACCTCGATTTATATTCAGCACGGTGAAAATCGAGAAAATTCTAGAGTCTGATATTTATAAATTCATAAATCAAATATCCTATTTTAATATTTGACTTTGAACGTTATTTACCTTTTTTTCTATAATACGGTTACATTTATAGTTGCATCGTCACATTTGATAAAAACATTTGCGATTGTAAATTTCACACGCGAATATTATTATCAAGCAGCAATTTTAAAATTGGACATTTCGTTTCGCTATTCTCACACATAATAAACTCGACGAACGAAGCTCCATCAGCTCAATAGATACAGATCACTTGTTTCGCGTACACTTGAATATTTTTCATAAATAGCTGAATCAGCACCGAGGCACCATCGCAGATAAAATGAATATTCAATATTCTAAACGAAAACGTTTGCGCGAGAGTTCTCACTGGAGCAAAACATAGTTGAAACAACTTCGTGATTTGATTTTCTCATACTGTTTCGAAATAGAAGAGGTTAAAAATGAAGAAACGTCGACTCGACAAATGGAAGAAAAAGAAAAAAGAAAAAAATAGAAAAAGACGTTCCTATTAGCAAACAGGATTCTTTTTTTCTCAAGATCATCATCGTTGAAATTTGCATTATCATACGTTAAAAGCTGCATTCGATTCGCAAATTTACGCAGTAATTCTTAAATGCCTAATGTCCTATCTTATCCTTACGCTCGTGTCATATGTAAAAATAGAATTCTCACTGGGAGAAAATAATCTCGTAAGAAATGAATGGCTCGTTTCTTTCCGACAGATTTCAGCTCGACTTTCCAAGAATCTCGAAATAGCTTGCGCTATCGAAAATACCCCGGTGTTTCGGAAACAACACGCGTCGAGCAGACGACGTGTGGTCTCGGCTGTAGCACGACCGTCCGGAAGAGGTGTCTGCCGATTTTAGAAAATGTAGGTTCCCTCGCAAAAGTATCCCCCACTAAAAGGAAGCCGTACAGAGCGGCGTATGTGGGGTACACGTCGGTCGCATATCAGTTTGCCGCTTCAGCAAAGGCTCAGTCGCGAGCGGCGCAGGCCTGCGATTACACTCACACACACACACACAGAGCCGGCGGCCAGCGATTTCGCCGGTTCGACGATCGGCCGATTCGTTGCTTCCGCCTCTTATTCCAATCGCCTGGCGCCCGATCTTTCGATCGAAAACCCGATTCAAGTAAAAATCGAAACGCGATATTACGTAAACTCAACTCGCGCTGTGACCGATCGAACAAACCGAGAAAATCCAGCAGTTTCGAAAACTCCGTCAAACCTGCCAGGCTGCTTCAAATCCAATCAGTGAGAAAGTGATATCCAAGTGTGTTCCGAACGACGCGCGATTTTTGGATTTAACGGAGGAGACAAATAATCGTAAGCGTTGCAACAAATGTCTGAATAATTGAACGTTGAATTCGAGATTGAGAGAGATGGAGGAGGCTCGACGATCGTCAAGGTGTTTCGGAATTAATGATTTGCGAGCGT